CCCTCTCAGTCCCAAGAGCGAACAACAACCTAAACAAAGAGCACAAACAAAAGCCTTTCCCCTCCCCAAGATTTGAAAGTATCTTGTCCCCTTATTGGTCCTTTGGGTCAGGTGTCAGCCAGGTTACCCGAGCTTCTTAACCCTTTACAGGTAAAAGGATTTTGGAGTCTCTGGCCAGGAGGGATTTTATAGTACTGTACACAGGAGAGCTGTTACCCTTCCCTTTATAGTTATGACAGTCTCCAATGGATACTTTATCCATTTCACCTCCCTCCCCATCCCCTCTTCAGGGACCTTTCTTACGAGAGACTGTTAAGACAGGAAATAGATCACCTCCTATGCCTGGAAGCCATAGAACCTGTTCTGGTACATCTCAGGGGCAAAAGATTTTTATTCCCGATATTTCCTGATCCCCCGCAAAAAAGGAGGTTGGAGACCCATACTGGACCTCAGAGCACTGAAGAAGTACATGAAGGCAGAAAAACTCAAGATGGTCACACTAGCAGTAATTATTCCATCTCTGGAACTGGGAGATTGGTTCTCAGCCCTTGACCTCCAGGATGCATATTTCCACATACCCATTCTACCATCCCAAAGATAATTCCTTTGGTTTACCCTGAGTCAGGATTATTACCAGTACAGAATACTTCCTTTTGGCCTCTCATCGGCTCCCAGAATGTTCTCCAAGGTCCTTTCCATAGTATTGGCTTATCTACACACCCTGGGGATTATGATTTACCCATACTTGGACGACTGTCTCCTCAGGGCCCACTCCTTCAAAGATGCCCTACGAGTCACCCACGGAACTATGGACATATTCATGAAGCTGGGTCTACAAATTAATGTCCAAAAATCGACCTTAACCCTGGTACTGTGTTTGGAGTTTATAGGGGCCAATCTTGACTCACTGCAAGCAAAAGCACTCCTTCCGCAACATAGATTTCACAGCTTGCCGACGCTCATATAGACAATTCAAGACAGCCCACAAACGTCGGCCTGACATTGCCTCCGGTTTCTGGGACATATGGTGGCAAGCACATTTATAATATCTCATGCCAGACTATACATGAGGTTTCTTAAGGCACGGTTCAGATCTGTTTACAGACCAAAGACAGGTTAGACAGATGCCCTCCAGGATCAAACACTCCCTGGATTGGTGAAAAGACCCAACAAATGTCTATATGGAGGTCCTGTTCACACATCTCCCCCAACATTGTATCCCTAATTGGCTGGGGAGCACATCTCAACAACTTCAAGTGTCAGGACAAGTGGTTGCCCATGAAGATAACTCTCCACATCAACCTCCTCGAACTCAGAGTGGTCAGAAATACTTGTGCTCACTTTCTTCCACTGATCAGAAATAAGCACACAAAAATTATGACAGACAACATAGCGTGCATGTATTACATAAATTGTGAAGGGAGTGCAAGACCATCCTCCCTATGCGCAGAAGCGCTAAAGCTATGGAACTGGTGCATTCGCCACAATGTTTTAATATCAGCGGCTTATCTACTGGGAGTGCAGAACATAACAGCAAACAGTCTCAACTGCAAGTTCTCACATGACCACAAGTGGGAAATGAACCCAACAGCATATTCTATCAATGGGTACCCCGACGATAGACTTGTTTGCTACTTACCTGGAAATGCCCACTCTATTGCTCCAGAGCCGGCCTCGGGAAACACTCATTAGGGGATGCTCTCCTTCTTCCATGGGACAAGAGCCTTTCTCCCATTCCCTCTGCTGTTCAAGGTCCTGATAAAAATAAAAAGAGAAAAAGCAAACATCATTCTGATTGCTCCCAGCAGGCCAAGACAGACGTTTACCGGTATCTGACACAGCTGGCAACATGTTCCCCAATTTCTCTTCAACCCACTCCTTACCTCTTTTCGCAGAACAAAGGACAAACTTTCCATCCCAACCTGTGGATCCTCTGTCTCAAAACTTGATTCCTTCGTGGTTCCAACACATAGAGATCTGCTGCTTCAAGGAGGTGCAGGAAGTGCTACTACACAGTAGAAAATCGGCTACCTGACACACTTACCTGCAGAAGTGGACTATGGTTCAGGTTTGGTGCAATTCCAGACAAATTACCCCGGCATCTTCCACTCTCCCCATGGTATTGCACTACATACAGGATCTCAAGATGTCAGAGCTGTCCCTCAGTGCACTCAAAGTACACACTGCAACCATAACGGCTTTCCATCAGCAAACAGAAGGATATTCAGTTTTCACCCACCCAAGTACAAAGAGATTCCTCGTGGGCAATGTCTGTCCCCAACCCAGATATCCCACTCCAACATGGGACCTAAATCTAGTTTTAAAGAGCCTGACTAGATCACCCATTGAACCTATGGCCTCTTGTTCGCTTTCATACCTGTCAATGAAGACGGCATTTTTGGCGGCCATCACCTCGGCGAGGAGAATAGGGGAGATAGCGGCACTAATGGCTCCTCCCCCCCCCAGTATTCTTTAAAGACAAGGTTATTCGTAGGCCACATCCAAAGTTCATTCCCAAGATTACCTCGTCTTTTCACATAAAGCACCTGATTCACCTACCAACCTTTTCTCCTAAGCCTCACTTTCATAATAGGGAGGCTATACTGCATATGCTAGATGTTAGGAGAGCCTTAGGGCTGGTCTTCACTATGGGGAGATCGACACGGCTTCAATTGATGCAGCAGGGGTTGATTTAGCGAGTCTAGTGAGGACTTGCCAAATTGACCGCAGAGCGCTCTCCGGTCGACCCTCGTACTCCAGCTCCCCGAGAAGATTAAGATAAGTCAATGGGAGAGCATCTCCCATCAACGCAGTAGCATAACATAGGTCGACTTACCCCAGTAGTGAAGACAAGACCTTAGCCTTTTATCTGGACAGGATGAAAGCCTTTAGGAAATCTCCTAAGCTTTTCCTCTCCATTGAGGAAAGGTCAAAAGGCATAGCAATATCAGCCCAAAGACTTTCCAAATAGTTCTCAAACTGTACTAGCCACTGCTATCATGCTTTCAATGTGTTACCTCCATCTGGAATCTGCATATACTCGATGAAGTGGTTTCCACCTCTGTCACCTTCCTCAAGAATGTTCCAATCTCAGAAATCTGTAGGGCAGCGACTTGAGCATCTGCTCATTATTTCGCAGAACACTATGTGATTACTGGAAACTCTGCTTCCAACACATAGGGATGCAGACACACCTACAGTGGTGCACCCATAGGGGCACACATCTCGAAGAACCATCGTTACTACACAAGGTAACTTCCTTTTATGGTCCTCTTCTCTTTCCCCTGAGACGAAGTCAAAGATTAAGGAACTTCTGTTTGAGAGAGACAGTCTGTTCGGTTCTAAAACAGATGAGGTGTTGGAAAAGATTAAAGAAACTAGATCTATGGCAAGATGTCTAGAACCCTTTCAGTCTTTCAGACAGAGAACTCCATCCTCATTCAGATACCAGAGACAATACAACATTTTCATAGTCTTTTTATTACTCTAAAAGAAAACATCTTTATCAAGAACAGCAACAACAGCATCCTCCTCCTTCTCAGTCTCAATTTAGGAAAAGATTCTCCAAACTCAAGATGAGACTGAAGTACTTTTCTATGACTTCTTTTTGCCCAATATTAGACCTCAGGTTTGATATTACAACCAAGAGCTGCAAACGAACCTTAGATGTTCATTGTCTACCCTGTGGAGACTGTCTGATTTTTACAATACATGGCAAAACATCACTATGGACAGATGGATTTTGTTTCAAGACTATTCCACTCTCCCTTTCCTTCCCTTTTCAGGGACACCTCTCACAAGAGAATTCTCAGAGCAGAAATCCATTCTCTGCTTCTACAGAGCAATAGAGGAAGTCCTGGAGGATCTCAGGAATCAGGGGTTTTAATCTGGTTCCTAAAATGGATGGAGGTTTCTGATCAATCCCAGATCTGAGAAAATTAAACAAATACATTAGGAATTTTCACTTCAGGATGCTGACTCTTAGTTCAGTCATCCTCTCTCTTTCTGATCTAGATTAACTTGGTGCTCTCTATTTAAAAGATACTTACATCCACATTTCCATTCAACCATCTCACAGAAACTACCTTCATTTAACCCTGGGACAGGTCCATTTCCAATACAAGGTTTTCCGATTTGGCCTTTCTAATCTACCTTTGGGTTTTACAAAATGCCTTTCTGTAATAGCAGCCTTCCTGAACAGACAATGCATTTTTGTGTTCTCATATTTCAGTGACTGGCTTCTGAAAGCTCATTCCAAAGTCGAGTTGAACAAAGTCATTCTCTTCACGCATTCCCTATTCCAAAAATTAGGTTTTCCAACAAACAAGAAAAAATCATATTGCGCCCAATGTAAACAATGCTTTTCATAGCAGTAGTTGTCAACTCCACAGTAATGAGAGCATACCTGGCAGAGAAAAAATTCCAAAAACTGAAATCCAGCTTTCTCCAGAAATCACCGCAGGAAGTACTGTTCTTCCTCATCCTTCTGGGTCTTGTGACTTTAACAACATCTGTTACAGCTTACACAAGATTCAGAATGAGATTGCTGGGTTTCAAGAAATTTCATTCTCACAGTGCACAGCATGTACATGATGCTTACAATACAAGGAAAGTTTGGAATACTTTTCTACGGTGGATGAAGCCCAAGAATGTACTGAAGGGAATGATGTTCAACCCTCCACCTCCTTCAGTAATAAGTACAACGGATGCTTCCAAGACAGGTTGGAGGCACATTTCAACAAATTATTAACAGGGGATCTCTGGAATCTGCAAGAATTGCAAATTGACATCAATGTTTTGGAATTAAAGGCTATCCATTTAGCACTCAAATCCTTACTCCCTCAGATTCAAGGCTCTGTGTTGCAAGTTGCCATCAGCAATGTGTCAGCAGTGTATTCTGTAAACAAACAAGGAGGTGCCCATCCATCACAACTTTGCCGAGAAGCAATAAAACTATGGAACTGGTGTATATGTCATGAAATTTATCCAACTGTGATGCTTGTAGCAGGATCTAACAATAAACTGGCAAACCAACTAAGCAGAGACTCTTCTCAGGTTCACAAATGGTCTCTAGAGGAATCAGTGATTCAAGACATTGTCAATCTTTGGGGATTTCCAAATGTAGATCTCTGCCATCAGCCTCAATACCAAATGCCCTCACCTTTGTTTCAGAGAAGAGATAGACACTCAGTCATTGATGGATATGTTTCTCCTCAATTGGGGGACAGATCTGATGTATGTTTTCCTGCCTTTTCCATTATTGTTTAAGGTGGTAAAAAAGATCAGACAAGACTCAGCCAAAATGATACTCGTTGCTCCAGCATAGCCAAGACAGCAATGGTACATGAACTAGTTTCTCCTCCACAAAAGGAAATTCAAACACTTACCTGTATTGCCATATTTCCTATCATAAAAATGGGAAGAGTGCACCATCCAGACCCTCAATTGCTACATCTCATGGCATTGGCAACAGGACTCTGACAAATTTTGAGAACTCTTTTTCTCTTGAGATGCAACAAAATGGCAGATGAAATTCAATGTTGTTAAATGCAAAGTAATGCACACTGGAAAACATAATCCCAACTATACATATAAAATGATGGGGTCTAAATTAGCTGTTACCACTCAAGAAAGAGATCTTGGAGTCATTGTGGATAGTTCTCTGAAAATATCCTCTCAATGTGCAGCGGCAATCAAAAAAGCAAACAGAATGTTGGGAATCATTAAGAAAGGGATAGCTAATAAGACAGAAAATATCATATTGCCTCTATATAAATCCATGGTACACCCACAACTTGAGTACTGTGTGCAGATGTGGTCCCCCCATCTCAAAAAAAGATTTATTAAAATTGGAAAAGGTTCAGAAAAGGGCAACAAAAATTATTAGGTGTATGGAATGGCTTCAATATGAGGAACGATTAATAAGACTGGGACTTTTCAGCTTAGAAAAGAGATGACTAAGGGGTATATGATAGAGGTCTATAAAATCATGACTGGTGTGGAGAAAGTAAATAAGGAAGTGTTATTTACTCCTTCTCATAACACAAGAACTAGGGGTCACCAAATGAGATTAATAGGCAGCAGGTTTAAAACAAACAAAAGGAAGCATTTTTTTCACACAATGCACAATCAACCTGTGGAACTCCTTGCCAGAGGATGTTGTGAAGGCCAAGACTATAACAGGGTTCAAAAAAGGACTAGATAAGTTCATGGAGGATAGGTCCACCAATGGCTATTAGCCAGGATGGGCAGGGATGGTGTCCCTAGCCTCTGTTTGCCAGAAGCTGGGAATGGGCGATAGGGGATGGATCACTTGATTATTACCTGTTCTGTTCATTCCCTCTGAAGCACCTGGCATTGGCCGGTGTCAGAGACAGGATACTGGGCTAGATGGACCTTTGGTCTGACCCAGTATGGCCGTTCTTATGTTCTTAGGTACTGCTTAATTCTTGAAAACAATCTACTAGAATATGTTATGATATAAAATGGAGATTTCTACTTTGGGTATCAGATAAGGGTTTTGATCCAGTATTTGCTCCTATTTAGTGTATTTTAGAGTACTTGTTTTTCCTAACAAATAAGGGATTATCCATCTCATCATTTAGAATGCATTTAGATGCAATAGCAGCTTTTCATAATCCTGTGGATGGTAAAATCAGTTTTTTCTTGTTATATTGCTGAAAGATTTTTAAGGGTCAGTTGAATCTTTACCCACCAGTTTCTCCATGGGACTTAAACCAAGTGTTAACATTTGAACTTTTATCAGCTTAATATTTATTTCATCTTTCCATTAAAACAGCCTTTATTATAGCAGTTACATCAGCTAGAAGAATTAGTGAATTTTATGCCTTGATGGCAGATCCTCCATTTACAATTTTTTATAAAGATAAACACCCACATTTTTTTACCTAAAGTAATTTCTGATTTTCTTGTTAATCAATGTATTAACCTGCCAATACTTTTTCCAAAACTCATAAGAGTGAATTAAAGTTACATTGTTTGGATGCTAAAAAAGTTCTGGCTTACTATTTAGACAAAACTAAAGTGTTCAGACCTCGCAACTGTTTATTTCTTATGCAGATAACTTAAAGGGAAAAGTGGTGCTTAAGAACATAAGAACGGCCATACTGGGTCAGATCAAAGGTCCATCTAGCCCACTATCATGTCTTCCGACAGTGGCCAATGCCAGGTGCCCCAAATAAATAAAGCCAAGCACCTCACTGCTAAGGGACAACAGGCCCAGCCAGAAACTGCTGCGCAGGTCCCAGCAAGATTTGAACTCATGACGCCTGGTTTACAAGATCAGTGCTCTGGGTCAGACAGTTCAATGAAGTGAGTTATAAGAATGTTTCACGTTCTCCTCCTACTACTATTAAAACACATTCTACCAAGGTAGTTTCTACTTCAGCAGCATAGACCTATTTCATTAATTGAAATGTGTAAAGCAGCCACATGGAGCTCAGTACATACTTTTACTAAACATTATGCATTAGACATAGCTGCTAGTCTGATGCACAGTTAGTCTGATGCACAGTTCTTCAACCTCTATCTCATTGGGATACGTTTACACCATACATTTACTATGTACTGCTGATCAAACTATCCCAAAATATTGCCAACTTTGTAATATATAAAAACTGGACATTCCAGCAGGAGTCCAATTGCCCTTGCCCAATCCCTTCCCCTTGAGGCCCTGCCCCGCCCTTCCCCCAGGCCTCATTCCCACCTTGCCTCTTCCCCCGAGGCCCCGCCCCTGCCCCAAGGCCCCACCCCTCATTCACTCCTCTTTCCTCCTCCCCCCCCGTCACTCGCTGCTCTTCCTCATCCCCTCCTCCCTGCATGGGTCGAGAGGGATTTGCCTGCAGAGCCAGGGCTGGGAACTGCAGATGCCCAACGCAGGTAGGAGGTGGCCCTGGCTAAGTAGGGGCTGGCACAGGTGATGACTCAATGCCTCCCTGCCTCCCCTGCCTGCAGTAACTGGACTTTGGGTGTCCAATCAGTAGAGCTGACCGGACACTGTAAGGTCCCCTTTTCGACTGGACAACACCATTCATAGCTGCTGGTCGGTGCATATCCCAGGAGTGTGAATATGCAGAGTCCATCTTGAAGAATCTCGGTTATATGTAGGTAACCTTCATTTCTTGTGAGAAGCTGCTCAGGAAGGAAGTGGATTCCCTTCTGAGGAAGTGGGTTATAGAAGAAGTTTTGAGTCAGCCCTGGGGAGAATGCTTTTACCTCAGCATAAGGAATGAGAATGCTTCTTCATGGCAAATAAAAAGGAAAGCTTTGGATCAATTGTGGATCTTAGAAAGCTTAATAAGTGTATCAGGACTTTCAAAATCCAAGTGCTAATCTGAGCTCCATCTTCCCTTCCCTTTCTGTGCAAAATTAAGGTGGGACTATCAGTTTAAAGAATGGCTACTACAGTAATCAAACTATCCCATTGCAAGTTCCCACACCAAGGATGTTTATAAAGCAACCAGCTGTGGTAGTTACTTACTTAGGGCCTTGGCTACACACACAAGTTGTACCACTTTAATTATACTGCTATAAAGTGGTACAAGCTCCCTACTGTGTATGTGGTTATACCACTATAAAATTGCTTACACTGGTAGAGCTTATTCCCATTTGGAAAGAGGGATAAACTATACCAGTATAAACACTTTTATACTGGTATAATTGCATCCACACTGAGGGTTGTACAGGTATAACTATTTTGGTAAAAAAATAAAAATCACACCTCTAATCGAAATGGCTATACTGGTACAAAATCTGCATGTAGATCGGGCCTAATATTTAAAATGGTCAGTAATGTCTTTTCTTATCTGGATGGCTGGCTAATTTGGGTCTTGTCCACTCAGGCTGTGAGTTATAAATATTCCTTGGAGTCAGCTTGCAATCTATTGTAATCACTGAGGCTGCAGATAAACTGGGAGAAGAGACAACCCTCCTAACTGAAGAAAGGTACTTCAGCATCCACCGGTCTTGTATGATGTTTAAGGACAACCCTCTGCAGACAACTCCAATAAGGAGAGAGAGGTCTCTGACTCTGACCTTAGAGCAAGCCCAGCAGGAGAAAGAGGGCAATTCTTTTTTCATCTGTGGCCACTGTTCTCTTGCATTCTAATAATCCATAGAATCAGCCAAGAAGCCAAAGGACAGATACTTGCAAGACTACCTTCAGAATCTGCCCATTTCCCATCACCCTTTATTTAAGAAGTAAACTAGGATGCAAAGAAATGTCCTGGCAGGTGCAAATGCATAAGTAAACAGGTAACCAAATTCTAGACAATTCAGGAGTCAAAATATGCCAACAGTGGCGCTGGAACACTTTTTATAGTCAGAACAATTAATGAAACTGTAAAGCAGTGGTCCCAAACTTTTTACCTCGCGCCCCCCCCCCTTACTCCTGTCCGTGCCCCCCTAGAGTGGGTGCCAGGAGTGGGGCCGTGGTTCCGGGAAGGGAGTACAGACAGAGGTAAGGGGGTTGAGGCTGGGGCCACAGCTGGAGGCAGGCTGCAGCACCCCCACTTCCCGCGCCTATGGATGCCACTGCAGCTTCAGTACTTCATACATCGTCAACAACAGAAAAGGGGTGAGGAACACCGTTTTCAATTTTTCTCATTTCTTTGACCACATTTATTTGTCT